TATCGCCCTCCCCAACTCCTCCAACGCGCCGCGCTCTTTGCTCCCGCACCCTTTGGGCGCGTCGGGATATGTCCCGCGCGAACGGAAGCCGGATGCGCTCGTAGGCTCGGAGCGCGGTGGGAATACGTGCGAGGGTTAGCAAGGACGCGTGCGAGGATGTGCGCGTCCTTAGTTTAGGATGAGAGGAAACCAGCTCTGATCAGAGAGACGAACGTCAGCGTACTTCGATGGCTTGCCCGCCGCCTGCACCGAGGTTGGGCGGCGTTGCGTGCATCTGATCCGCACGGGAGGTCATGAACGAGGGAGCATATTGAACGGCGGGTGATACTGGTAGTAGATGAAGATAGACCGACCGCACCACCGAGCAGCGCGACGCTCTCCCGAACGGCGACTTATCGACGACGTGGATCGCCCAGCGGGACGCCCTCTGGACGCACTGGGAACACCCACGACTGGATGAGCCCTCATCGCAGGAGAGGAGCTTCGGACTACAGACCTGCAGCATCTGTGGCACCTCCGGTTCCCAGGAGGTGAAGGTGGAACGGAACCCGCTCCTCGGAGACCTCCGTCACGCACTGGTCCGGATAATGGCTGCCCTCCCCGTTGGGCTCTCGGCGTCGGGCAACGAAGCGGAGGAACTCGCCCTCGGAGATCTGGTAGGTTATTATATGCTGGAGAAGATCAATAGCAGCTATCCGGGGAAGGTCCCGGTGGGTGTGGAAACGCCGCCTACCTTCTATTTTCCCGTGCTGTACAGTGCATCGTCAGCAACTCGATGTGGGGCGACCGCCCAAATGCACCCAAGCAGAGGATGGACCCTGTACTCGCCCTGGCGTGCTTCGGGTTCAGCGCATACAGCTCCTCCGTCACTTCGAGATCAAGCAGGGGTACGAGTGGATGCCCCGTCCAAACTGGCTCCGCCGCCTTACACCTGCAGCAGAGTGGAGCGGGTACTGCACTCAATGGGTCAAAAGTCCGATGGCATGCTCTGTCGTGCCATTACTCAAGGTCTCCAGCACGGTGACATTGAATAGACAGCTACTGGTTGCGCGGGCGATGATCTCGCAACGTTCTTCTGAACAGCGCGCCAGAGCCGAGGTTGTCCGCCTCGTCCGTAGGTATGGCCGATGGTCAATGATGACACACTTGACCTGCAGGACTAGAATTGACCAGGCCGAGAACGAGGAGGACAATAGCCGCCCGTTGTAGCAAGGGAAATGCCAACCGCCACACGTGTCTCGGACAGATTGGCGTGGTACATATGTCGATGTAAGAGCTGCGCCCTATCAAGCTGAAAACAAAGTCTGAATACTCGTCTGCACGTTATATCGCCTGTATGCTGTTCCGCGTCAATTCTGAAAGGGCTCACTTGGTACAGGGAAAGTGAATCCAGCCCCACCCTCAAGTCTCAACCAACGTCTCCGGACACGCGATCAGTACTTTGGCAACACCGGGAACGACACCATCTTCGCCGACTCCGAGTCACGCAAGCTGGACGCGCTCACGCTCTCGTCCACCTCGACATCGGCACCGGACCGCCTGCGAAACTCCTCCTTCACTCCATGATCGTCCTCGAACGCCACGCCGGTCTCTTGCTGTATGGAGACCATGACTTCGCGCTGAAAAGTCTGCAAAGCGTCCCGGACGCGCACACATTGAGTGCACGCTCACAGAGCCGATGTCGGAGATATGACGCACCGGTCCGTTGACGCCCCATCCGGGCGGTTTCGACGACGTTCGCGACAGGCTGGAGAGCCGGGGCAAGGAGACGTGGCCGAATCGTTCCGCTTGCATCCGCAGGCCCGCCCGCGCGTTCAGCGTCGCCAGCAGAGAAACGGAGTACACTGAAGGATTTGTCGAGACCGACCACATGAACTTTAGCAGACTTCTGGAGTGTGTGTGAGGAGACGTACGACGTGTGCCAATGTAATAGAGCATGACGTAGAGCGCGGCGGTGGGCAAAAGGATGACCTGTTGAGCACGCTTCAGACGATGCACCTTCGACCAGGCACTCAAAGACGGGCGTACCGCGACAACGGAGAGTATGGCGCAAATGCTGACCATGGGCTAGGTCAGCCCTGTAGTCCGGAGACGATGGGGGGAAGCGCACCTAGTAAGTAAGCCTGTATTGATGGTATACAAGACCTGTATCGCAGAGTTCAGCATCCAACGTAGGTGTGCGAACACATGAGCCTGGTACCAGCTTGTTGATGAGGCGTTTTACCCTGTATGTCTGCAGTTGGAAGGCCTGAACGTACGGGAAAGCTCATGGTACCTACCCTATTGAAGTAGTTCGAGACATCGCTAGGAGAATCACAAGAGTACCCGAAAGAAGCACATCAGTTGTCGCGGTCGTAGCGTTCAAGGCGATGTCCAAGCTCTGGGAACCGCCCTCGTAACTGAATGATGCTTCACGTGAGAATGAAGAGACATACGCACAGTCAGTTCGACGAAGTCCTCGACATCATCCGTCATAATGCTAGCAGAGCAGACCCAGGACTTGTGAGCCTTCCCATCCATTGACTCGGCACGGTCTGCGGCTCACCTCCTGACGAACAGTGCTGAGCAGGAAAAGCGCAACGCGGGTGAGCTTCGCCTGATCGCATACTGTTGACGACGTACTGATGGCGAGAGCTATATTCGGCACATCGTGAATCAGCATTGCAGCCCGAGCCACCACGGGGAGTGAGAAAATACCAAAATCGCCACAAATAAACATCGCCTGTGAACTCTCAGGCCGAGCACTTCCAGACCAGAGGTTTGGAGGACGCACTAGCAGGGTCGCTAGACCTTGACTATTGCTGACTGATACGTCCATGGATCAGGTCAGACCCAGCGCCGTTAAGACATGCTCATCACGTACGAGTCCAGATACGATGCGCATAAAAGCTGCCTCGGAATGATATATTATAAGCACAGAGCCACTCGCCGGAGGAGACCCGGCTCACGATTGAATCATGACGATTGCGCACGCCTGTGGAGTCGTGAGACACATATCCCTTTCGGCTGGATTCGGTACCTACGTTGCATAAAAGTTGCGCCTAGAGGGATGGGGGGAGTCTGAGAGAAATGCCATGACACCGCGCGACTGTTTCGCCGTGACCGACTCACGCTTGATTCCCTGCGCACATAACGCAAGTGAGCTACACGGTTCACGACGTCCACGTCATAAGATTTTCTGACCAAGGAAGGATGACCGGGCCTAAGCCTTCTAATTGTTTCCGTACGAGGAACGCCCACACTAATAATGCATTGTGTCAGCGACCCGGGTGAGTTCGGAGACGAGTGAAAACGCGTACTGGTTGCACCGTACAAAAGCAGATGAAGGGCATCGAGCATCCATATTACAGCGACCTAGCATGCAGCAGAAGCATTAGCCTGATCGCAAGACATATCCATGGATGCCCTACGAGCGTCTTCAGGAATCTCCTGTCGTTAGGATAATGCTTGTAGTACCACACGGCTTGCGAAGTGGAAACTACAGGTTCAACGTCAGTACCCACGAATGGAGCTCGGAGTCACTTCCACCACCTCCGAAGAGACTGTTCAGCAAGGGTGGGATGAGCCTTGTCGAAAGTCTGTCCTAGCGAATGGCTTCTTACCTTGCCGTAACCGCAAGCCCGACAAGGGTTACACCAACCCTATCAGAGCATCAACATACATGGAGCATCGCGCAACGCTTACCAAACCTACGTGACGTCAAGGAAGACCGCCGGATTGAGAGTGATAGCCATCACCAGTGGGCCTCCGCAACGCTTCGGGCAGATTGGCAGGGGCAAAAGGGACGAGGGAATGAAAGGAGCTGGGCTTCTCGACAGACGCTATGCTTGCGGCCACGCCAACTTGAATTTATGGGCCGCACGGGTGCAGAAGCACCTGGGGAGCTTTTGATTCCAGCTGCATTAGCATGGGAGCGGGCCAGGGCCACGGCGCTTGCCGGCTTCTCTACACATATTCGGACCCAAGGAGAGGGATGTTACCCGGCAAGCGCGTCCAATTCGCTCGTCCGCAGTGCTTGCACACACAGTCGCGACTCTTGAAGGGGTAAGTCAGCAGAGTGCTCCACCTCCGTCCTCGATACTGATGTGCCGCTAAGGCCACTAAGCGAACGGCGTAGCGACGGTACTGTGAAGCCACATACCACGCTCTTCGCATGCCCGGAAAGATCCAGCTGATCAGCATTTGCGTGGGAGTAGAGCATGCATATCCTCAAGGTAATCTGGGAGGTTCAGCTTCGACCTCGGGGTCAATTGCCTACTGACATAATGGGTCTGCACACATGTCATGCTGCCCACTCGCGGGCCGCCCATTGTCGCAAGGGAAAAGCCAACCAAAGCGGACGCACAGCCGCCACATGGACAGCCAAAGAAGCAAGGGAGGTGAGTATCGTGGGTGTCGCATACGGACTCTAGGTACGTAAAGGCGCTGCCGTTGATTGGTCCTTGTAAGTATCCGATGGATGGGGCTTTAGCGGAAGCGGAGCAGCGGTGAAATCCCTGTTGGACCCTGCATTTCTGGACCTTGCATTTAGACGATTTTAATGGCAGATTCCGAATACCTGCATCTGGACAATTCTCACTGGCGGAATCCTCATCTGAATCAGAACGGGGGCATTGAGAAGGCAGCACATGTTCCCTGGTGATCGCTGCCACAGCGACATGCAGCAGACATGGCGGAGGCGCATAGGTGCTGGATGGCTCTGGTACGTTGCTCTCCCTTACGACTTGAGTCGGAGACAGAACAGCCGCCAGATCACTCACCAAGATTCATATGGTGGTCAGCAACCGCATTCCTCGGACGGACCCGCCGGAGAGGACATGATTGGAGACGGGACTTCCTCTCGCACTTGGCCGCTCCATGCTGGTGCGAAGTGCAAAAAGTTACAATCAGTATGGAGGCTCATCAAGCGTTGAAACTCAGGCGTCAAACTGGGCAGGACCAGTTGGAGGACTTTTCCCTGTCATGCTACCCGGATCAGCTAAGGAACAGGAAGCAAAAAGTCCTCCGAGCCAGGATCGAACTAGCGACCTCAAGATTCTCTGGTAACCCATTACAGTCTCGCGCTCTGCCAACTGAGCTATCGGAGGCTGGAACAGAAAGTAGTATGGGACACTATGGCCGTGTTTTTGAGTACGGGACTAGATGCACGGGAGGCTTTGCTGCTTTTCCATGAAGAACATTCCGCCGACGCTCGGCAAGCATCAAGGCCGCCAGTGACACTCAGTGCGGGGTATTAAAGCGCAGTGCTCACGGCACCCCAATCGCAGTCCATGATCAGGTCTTGACCGCTCTGCGGCGACGAATGTTTGGGGATCCCCATGGCGAGTAAGACATGAGAAGATCGTCCAAATATCCGACAGTGGGTGGGGGACGGAGGTGGTACGAGAGCGAAATTGAGTTTGCCTTGGTGGCCGTTGCCGAAGCGCACGATAGCGATGACCCCACCCAGACCGCGTCCTGTAATTCGTGAGAACCGTCCAGCCCGTCGCTCCCCAAAACCCCACCGGTGGCCCCTATACTGTAGGCCCTATCCAGCCTCTCGTTCATCTCTCTCTATCCGCAACCATCTCGTACAGCAACCGCGCCGCCCATATTCCTCCGTGACTGCCCCTTTGTCCCACCACCACTACCACCACTAGCAACAGCACACCCACCGCTGCCACCATGTCGACCGCCCTCCGCGCCCTCTCCAAACATGTCCGCACGCTCTCCAACGCGTCGCGCAGCGTGCCCAGCACGTCCAGGGCGTTCCACTCGCCCTTCGCAGTCCTCTCCTCCTCCTCCTCGCCTCTGACGAACCCACCCGCACCCGGCTCGCTCGCCGGCGCGTCCTACGAGAAACAGGCCGACCACTCCCCGGACCCCGTCGTCGGCACCAGCGGCCACCGCACCTACGTCGTATCCCAGCCGGACCCCGCCAACACGCCTTACGAGGTGCCCTACGGCGCGTACCCCACCTCCGCCCCCTACCAGAACTTCGCGCGCACCGAGCCCCCCGCACCCGACGGCGCGCAGTGGGCCTCGACAGCCCCCGGCCTCGCCCACCCCATCACGCAGAACGTCCCCCGGAACGAGTCGGGCGTCGGCGAGAGCGCGGCGATTCGTCACAGGGAGGCCCCCGGCGAGATGCACGCCCGCGGCGGCAGCTACGGTGGACAGGGCCTCGCTGACCCTTCGGGCACCCAGAAGGGCGACGGCGAGCTCCCCGACAGGAATCCGCCTCCCCTCTTCGAGCACGCGGAGCGGTTCTCCAAGGCGGGCGTCGACAACGCCTGGAAGGAGCGGAAATGAGCGGCCCCGACGTATCGCCGCTGCTGCTCTACGCTTCCTGATGCGCGATGACGAATGGGAAAGGAGTCCACGAAGAGGGTATCACGAGAAAAGGGACGTTCATAATCGCAGGTTGCTCTCCGCTGTATGCACTGTGTCTGTATATGCCGCCGCCACCGCTGCACGAGAAGTTGTAGTGTACGAATAAGTTCTTCCTTGTTGTCACCATGTCTTCCATGATAGCTAGCAGCCGCCTCGTTAATGCATAGAATGTATATTCTTGCTCAGCACATCGCCTGATGGTGTCTAAGCCCCTCACGGTGCCCATGTACACATTTTTAGCCCAAGGCCTCATGACCGTGACATTCACCTCGAGACCTGGCCGGCCGAATGTGCCGCAGTCGTCGTCGAACGTCGAGATGCCTCCATGGCGCGTCGCTCGCTAAGAGGTTTGGTACTAACCCCAAGGTCAAGTCCCACGCTCAAACTCTATCACGCTCACAAAGCCGGATCCGCCTGCGCAAACATGATATGTACTGATTGACGCAAACTCGAGACATGCAAGCATGCACAAGGAAACGATACACGGAACCAATCTGAGATTGAAACGAGAGGAGACGACAGCGGAGAAACATGCGCGCGCAAGCGTTCTACGCCCAGCAGCCGGAGGTTGAGATGTATACACAGGCGAAAGTGTGTGCGCGGACCCGACATACGGCAGCGCAGCGACCGGAGCACTGACTGCTCCGGACGCGCGACGCCGAGACTTACAGTACAAGGCCTGTGGCACGATATGAGGTAATCAAGTCAGGAGAGAGAGCGAGAGACGTGAGGGGGAATGAGCGGCGGTGTCCTCTCGGCCGGAACCAGAGGCAAGCTGCGGACCAAACTGTATATGATAACCGAGGGCAAGGAAGGGCAGAGTTGCGGCCAGACTTTCCAGAGTATGCGATTAGGGAGCTTGTGGAGCCTGGATAGCCATATAGCGAAATATATACACAGCGGAGAAAAGGGTATGCGGGGGTACTGCGTCGGTGCGTGCGTGCGATGTGGGTGCGGTGTAATGCTCGGTGTGTATATGTAGGCGTCGTCGCGGGGTCGTCAACCGGCCGTGTCGTTGAGTTTGTGAGGAGAATCCAGAGAAAGCGTCGGCGTGCTTTGGGCGCTCAGAAGCGTCGCGGATCACTAGTAAGACGGGTGGGGTAGAGTAGGGTCGTGCGTCAAGTCGTCAGAGCCGTCAGAAGTGGAAACGTCTGCAAGCCTATAGATAGAACCCAGGAACGTAGATACAATCAGCAAGGCACAGACTCGCGGGACCGGACAGACGTACAAGTTCATCGGCGCAACCGGTGCGCATCGAGGCAAAGCAAGTCCTTATGCCCGACAGCAGAACGCAGCCCAGAATCCCTTCTTCCTGCCACCACCGTGCTCGTCCTGCTCCCCGACCCGCTCCATCTGCTCGCGGTCGTACACAGCCATGCCGCGGGTGGCCTGACCATTCACCTGTTCCTGCCTTGCGCCGGTGCCGTTCGTAGTACCCTCCCTGCTGGCGGTACCAGGTTTACCCGGACCTCCCTGGTTGTACATGAACGACTCCGAATTGTTCGGGTGCTGTTGGAGAGGAGTACCATTCCCAGCGGGGGTACCATTGCCCGGCACAGGGGACTGGCGCCCATACGCATTCGTACGGTACCCACCGGAGGTAGGAGCAGCAGCATACGGGTGCGGCGCAACGAGACCGCTGTCCCGCTCGCCGCGAGAGATGTGCTGCTGGCTTTGGCGCCGGCTCTGAGGAGGAAGAGGCTGTACGCTGACTTGCTCGCGGGAACCGCCCCTAGAGGCGTCGTGGCGACGGTTAGCATTCTTGACGTGCGCTGGGGTAGGTGCAAGCACGAGAGGGGAAGATGGCGAAGGCGCGCCATCCTGGAGGGCGGGTCGTGAGGACCTGTGGCGATCGCGTTCGCGGTGACGCTCGCGGTGAGGTGTGTGCGGAGTGCCGCCATGTGCAGAGGCGAGGAGAGCCGAAGTCTGCGGAAGCGTCAGCAGCGTGCAAACATGCGCATGGAGACACGAGCTTACATGGCCCGCTTCCCAGCCCTTTCCGCCATTCAGAAGCATCCAGTCGAAGACACCGTCCTCAGATTCACCAAGGGTCTTCAGAACCTTGGTAAACAGCTCCCGCAAGAAGTCGTAATCCGGCGTTTCCTCGAAACCGAGCTTGCGAACGTAGTTCATATAAATAGCGAACTCCTCTGCAGAATGGCGGTTAAGCAACCGGGCAATGGCGGAAAGTGAGACATCTGCCTTACCAGGGAAGCCTTCGCAGAGCTCTTCGATCGGAGTGCTCTGCTTCTTCTCGCCAATCTTTTCGTACTTCTGCTTGTTGGTGGCGGCGCGAAGGCCCTGCCAAGGTAGACCGCCACGCAGGAAGTACATGAAGACATGACCCAGAGACTCAAGGTCATCACGGCGGGACTGTTCTCGTCCCAAATGAGTGTTGATGGACATGTACCGGGCAGTGCCCGATAATGACTTCCGCTCGCGGTAGGGAATGTGGACCTTGGTCTTAGGATCACGGTAGTGTTTTGCCATACCAAAATCTGCCAAGCGAAGGTAAGCACGTAATTCGCGATTATTCCCTCGTCCCAGGATCGACGTATATGGCGAACACAAGACACTTACCAATGATATGGATGACGTTCGCATTCTTTGTGCCAGGAACACCAATCAAGAAGTTGTCGGGCTTGATGTCGCGGTAGATCAAGGACTTCTCGTGGATGGACTGAACACGCGTAACCTGCATATTGTGTCAGTGATTCGTGCGGAACTAGCATTGTAATGCGAAGACCAAGCAATCCAGCGGCGGGCCGCAGCAGGGCCGACGCAGACGCCACCAACCGACGCCTGGAAGCGCCGCCCGTCCCTGTCCATGTAAGCGCCGGCGTCCGATTGCACCTAGATAGCGGTGGATCAAACCTGCGCAACAGCATGCACGGTCCGAGCCTCAAACGGGTTGGCGACCATACGGATGCCAGCGTACTGCGGCGTAGGCTCGCGAGGCCTTGGAGGCCAACTCACCATCTGCTTCGCGGCCATGCAGACGGTCTTGATGCTGAATTTGCGGCCGCACATGTCGAAAAGGTCTTCGAGGTTGGGCCCGAGGAGGTCGATGACGAGGACATTGTGCAAGCCCTCTTGACCAAAGTAGTGGACTTGGGGGATGCCCGCTAAACCGTCAGCGAATGAGAGGGTGAGTACACCGTGCCACCGCAGCATATACGGGAGCCAAGGACAGACGTACGCGTGCCGTTCAGAGTCCTGTATGACCTGTATTCGTCCCTCAGCTGTGGGGCTTCAGACTTGCGGGGTTCCTATCCGCAGTACGAGAGTGAGCAGCCGTGCGATGACGCCCCACAATGACATTGCGGTCACATACAAATTTGATGGCGACGGGTTGGTTGTTGAGCATGTTGGTTCCTGCGCAATTCAATGACAAGTTGATTTAACGGTTCTCCTGCCTAGTTCTTCCTGTGCGCGCACCTTCAAAGACGACACCAAAGGAGCCCTCTCCAATCTTCTTGCCAACCCTGAAGTGATTGCCCACGACGCCATTGGAAGTAGCAGACTGGGAATGGTGACCTGAAGAAGAGGCAATCACATGAGGGGTGGCCATGTTGGCGATGGAGACCGAGAGGGAAAGGGAAGTGAAAGTAGAGTAGGAGGGCGAGGACAGGGAGAAGGGCGTCCAGGAGGAGCTGAGGAAGAGGAGCGGGCAACAGCGGAGTCTCAACTGCCCCTCCCCCGCCGGCCCACGCCG